CTGTTGTTATTTCCCCTTTATCAGTTCTAATTGGGGTTACTAGAGATTTTCCCTTTCTATTTCTAGTTAGCCTGGCCAAAGGCTTATCTATTATTTTTTCAAAAAACCAACTTTTTGTTTCATTTATTTTCTGAATGATTATTTTATTTTCAATTTCATGAATCTCTGATTTAATTTTGAATATTTCTTTTCTTCTGCTGTGTTTAGGCTTAGATTGTTCTTCTTTTTCCAATTCCATAAGATGGCTTGTGAGTTTGCTGATGAGCTCTCTTTCTCTCTGCTTTTTGGATGTTGGCATCTAAAGTGATAACTTTGTCTTTCAGGAATGCTTTTCCTGTATCCCATAGGTTTTGGTTGCTTATGTCTTCATTGTTGTTATGCTCAAGGAAGTTAATGATTTCCTCTTTTATTTCTTCCTGTACCCAACTGTCATCAGCATTAGGTTGTTTAATTTCCATGCCTTTGTGTGGGGTTGAATGTTTTTGTTGGAGTTGAGTTCCACCTTTAGTGCCTTGTGGTCTGAGAAGATACAAGGTAAAATTTCAATTGTTTTGATTCTGTTGAGATTTGTGTCCCAGGATATGAACAATTTTGGAGAATGTTCTAGGGGGCGATGAGAAGAATGTATATTCTTTAGCTTTGGGATGGAATATTCTATATGTATCTATCAAGCACAGTTGTTGTAAGACAGTGGTTCTAAACCTGTGGGTTGTGACCCACAGGAACTGTATTAAAGGGCCACAACATTAGGAAGACTGAGAACCACTGTTCTAGGGACTCATTTAAGTCCCTTATATCTTTGTTTAATTTCTGTTTAGAGAATCTGTCCAGCTCTGTAAGAGGAGTGTTAAAGTCCCCTGTTATTATGGTGTTATAGAATATCATATTGCTCAGACCAATTGAGGTCTGTTTCAAGAATCTGGGAGCATTTGAGTTGGGTGCATAAATAATTAGAATTGAGGGCAGTGCTTGTGGCTCAAAGGAGTAGGGCTCCAGCCCCATATGCCGGAGGTGGTGGGTTCAAACCCAGCCCTGACCAAATCTATAAAAAATAATAATAATTAGAATTGAAATGTCTTCTTGTATTTTTCCCTTGACCAATATGAAGTGCCATGTTTGTCTTTTTTGACTTTAGTTGCCTTAAATCCACTTATATCTGAAAATAAGACTGCAACCCCTCTTTTCTTCTGAATTCCATTTGCCTAAAAAGTTGTCTTCCAACACTTAACTATGAGTTTTTATTTGTCTTTTGAGGCTAGGTGTACTTTCTGCAGACAGCAAATGGATGGCTTGAGTTTTTTAATCCAATCAGCCAACCTATGCCTCTTCAGTGGGGAATTCAAGCCATTAACATTTATTTAGATAATCAATAAGTATGGTAGTGTTCTAGCCATCTTCTTTTGTGAAAGTCCATTGGTTAGTTTTGTCTTTTGCATCATTGTGGAAGCTAGGTTCTGTCCTTTAATTTCTGGGTGCTTACTTTGCTGGTGGTCCATTGTGCTGGTCGGTGTGTAGAACAGGTTGAAGTATTTCCTATAGAGCTGGTTTTATTGTGGCAAATTTCCTCAATGTTTCCACGTCAGTAAAAGATTTGATTTCTCCATCAATTTTAAAGCTTATATTAGCAGGATATAGAATTCTGGGCTGGAAATTGTTCTGTTTAAGTAGATTAAATGTCTTCTTGCTTGAAAAGTTTCATTAGAGAATTCTGCAGTCACCCTGATGGATTTACCTCTGTAGATCAATTAGCACTTACTCCTGTCAGCTTGAAGAATCTTTTCTTTTGTCTTGACTTTGGACAGATTCATCACAATGTGTCTTGGAGAAGCTCTATTAGAGTTGAGGTGATTTGGGGTCCAATTTCCCTCTAAAAGGAGTGTGTCAGAATCTTTGGTAATATTTGGGAAATTTTCATTTATAAAATTCTCTAGTATGATTTGCGTTCCTCTGAGGCATTCTTCTTCCCCTTCTGGGATACCTATAACTTGTATGTTCAAACACTTCATAAAGTCCCATAATTCTGTCAGTGAATATTCTGCTTTCTCTCTCTTCTTTTTTGCCACTTTAACTATCTGAGTTATCTCAAAAGCTTTGTCCTCTACCTCTGATATTTTTTCTTCTGCATGGTCTAATCCATTGTTGATACTTTCTATTGCATCTTTAATTGCTTCAATTCCTTCACCTCTGCTATATCCTGTCTATATTCTTCATATCATTCATCTCTTATTTCTGTTTTCAGATTTCCTTTTGGTTATTTTCCACTTTCTCAGAAATTTCCTTCTTTTTTGGTTATTTTCCACTTTCTCAGCAATTTCCGTCATTATTTTCATCATCTGTATTTTAAATTTCCCTTCTATCATTTCTAACATTATTTTATATGTGGAATCCTCTGCAGTAGCTACCTCACAGTCCTTTGGTGGGGGTTGCTCTGGACTGGTTTTTCATGTTGCCAGGATTTTTCTGCTGATTCTTCCTCATGAGTGTTTTCTTTTATTTATTTCCTTACCCTAATTTTCCTTTCACTTCTTCTTGCTCTTTAAGTTACTATGCCTCTAGTCTAAGGTTTTGATTAGTCCTTTTGGTATAGGACTAAAAGGATGAGAAGGTTGAGGAGCCAGAAGGGGAAAAAGATTAAAAAAAAAAAAAAAAGAAAGTAAAAAGAGAAAGGAGAAGGAGTGAGTAAAGGGGAATATTGACAAAAAGAAGAGAGATACAGAAAGAGGGAGACAGGAGTAAAAAAAATTGTACAGTAGGGTACTTTGACCTACACCTTAAAAACTCCCAACCTCTGCGCATGCTGAGCTGAGTGGTTCCCTTGAGGTCAGCAGCTCTTTGCCAGCCTGAGCAGACACAGTATCCCACCTCCACCAAATAAAGAGGAAAGATAAAAATACTGTAAATCAAACCAAAGCAAACAAACAGAAAACCTTATAGTATAAAATTGGAGGGAAAACCAATAACAGGGGCAGAAACACTAGCAAAAACTGAAGTTCTTATTATTAAAGAAGGTAACAATGGAAAATTATATTTACACTAGAAAAATGAAGAAAGAAAAAAAAAGAAAAATGGGGGGGGGAGTTGGAAAAAAAATCCAAAAACAAAACAAGTGTAAATATCTTGCTAAATATTGTCTGGGCAACAGGTGATCTTCTAGGGTATGAGATGCTAATCACAATGTTGATACAGCTGTATGAGATGGAGACTGGAGGCCACTGCTGACTTCTTTGCCCTCAAATCCCACAGGGTTGAGAGCCTGAATCTCTCCTCAGCCTGCTTAAAAAGACAGTGTAAGCCCTTAACCTTTGCAAAGCAGAAGCTTTCCCAGGAAAGCACTTGTTGCTGGGATCTCTCCTAAAGTGGCTGCTGGCTTATCCAACCTCAATCTATGCCCTTGAGGGCCGAGACTGCAAGGCAGCCCTGCTACTGCCAAACACTGAAAGCTCTGCTCTTCCCAATATCTCAGTCCTGGCCTTTGGCTCTGCTCACAGTCACTAGATCACTCACCCAAGGTCTCTCAGCCGGAGCCTCACTCTGTGACTCTGAAGGTGGAGCCTGCACGGGCAGTTTCCCCACAATGGCTGCATGGGGCCCACAGCCAAACAATGTTAGCTCGGTTCCGGCCCAGCAGCTCAGTCCCAAGCCCTGGACAACACTTAAAGTCATCCATACTCTTGCCCTAGTTCTCCCAAGGAAATTCAACCAAGTTCCCAAGTCCAAAAAAACCCAAAAAACCCCCAGGGAAGGCTTTCCCTTTCTGCAAACTTGCTGCTGTTGTAGTTACAGCTATGGCAACCTCAGACCAAGTGCAACCACTTGCCCCTTCTTCACTGCTTTTGTCCTCCTCCTAGGGTCCAGAAGTCTCTCTCTGTCTCCCTGTTTCCCCAAAGGGATGTGTCTGGGCAGAGCCCACAAACCAGAGATGCCTGGAGTCGTCTCTCCCCAATCTCACTGCTCCAGGTTGCAAAGAAGCTGTTATTCAGCCACCATCTTGCTCCTCCCCCCAAAGTACATTTTCTAATAAAGCTGGACAAGGGTGGATGGTGGCTTACCATGGCCATGACCCCAGACATGAAGAAGCAATGCTCTGTACTGGTCACAGCAGAGGCCAGGCAAACACAGGACCAGATGGCAGAGAGAAATGTGCTAGGAGCTTGCCTACCCTGATTTTGTTCTTGATTTCTTCTTTATTTCTCCCTTGCAGACTCAACTAGTACAACTAGTACACAGGAAGAGTACCTCTTATGATTACCAGGTGAGACTCTGCTGCCCAGCCCACTGGGCTGCACTGCACTACTCAAGAAAGCAAGCAGATGCTAAGATTGAGAGACAATTTAATGTATTATCTGTGGTACATTTTTTTCTTTGCCAAGAAAAAAAATAAAACACACAGTGAAAAAATAATAAAACTAGGAGACTGAAGTACATAAGGCAAGTACTACGTACAAATCTATGTAACCCTAATGTGCAGAGAGATCTTCTTGACCAACAAGATTTCATGCCAAGCTGCTGCTAGTTTGGATGCAAATACCATCTCTACCGTTGCCAACAGGCCTGGGGTTTCCAGTGTGCAGACTGCAATCACAAGAAGTTACTCTGTTTTACGATTAGTACTTCAAAGTCCAGCATGGCTTGGAGCGACAATCATTATACTGAATGCACATAATACAAACCAAGGAAAAATACACAGTGGAAAAACACAAACTGTTTTCTCTACTTAACCTAGCAGCGCCTACTGAGCAGCCTGCTCACTGCATCTCCGTCAGCTGCAGCCCACAGCTGCAGGAAATCCACCACATGGTAAAGCCAGACGCTGAGGGGATATGTAGGATGCAGCACACCTTTTCTGCTCAGTGCTAGAGAAATCTACTACCAAGCAGATTCTAGGACCAACAGCCTGAGAGCAGCAATGTGGCAGGATGTCATTCATTTTTTTTTTTTTGCTCCAAATAAAAAATAAAGTAATAACACTGTTGAACATCCCAATTAAACTTCCATCTGATTCAAAATTCATCTTCAGAGCTGTCGGCTAAGAGCATTACTCGATCTTGCATGCTGTTGAATTCTCTCTGCTAGAGAAAAAAAACAGAAAAGCATTAACTTTCAGCTGCAGAGCAAAGCTGAGAAGCAGGCCCACTTTAAAAGACCAACAAAGGAAGCTGAGGCAGCAGCTGCAGCGGCTGATCCAAACCGCCCAGCAGCTCAGTGCTATTCACGCATCATTAGGCCCCATGTGCCTTATTAAGCAAATTACATAAGCCAAGAATGTTCTGAAACTGATAGGGCTTTGCTATTTCTGGTCCCATACCTTTCTTTTATGTCTCTTGAAGCCATTTCTCCTTCGACGATTCATAGCCTTAATGCTGTACAGTGCTCCCAAGATGAACAAGGCACCGGCTATGCCAACCCCCACAGGCACCAGCATCCCAGACACGTAACCAGCCTGTGCAGAGAGGGAGATGCATGTCAGGACCCCCCCGGGCCACCGCTCAGGGGTCCTCGTTCCTGCTGGGTGGCAATGGGTATCTAGCCGCTCTGAATTTCCATGTTTGCTTTGTTATAAAATAAAATACAACCCAGAATTAAGTTACTTTTTAGGGAGACGGCAACAGAGAGAGTTATGCCTATCGCAACTCTCAAATACTTAGAAGTAAGTGTTGAAGTAAACCAGCCCACCTAGGGGCACCTCCAGCCATTTGCTCATTACACACATCTGTCAACACAAGTTTTGATGACAGAAATATAACTTGTATTAAAGATGGATAGATGAAGTAAGCTTCTAGGAATGCCAGCACTATTAAAATGCTATAAATCAGAAATATCAGCCAGAGTTGAGCTTCAAGGGGGTTGAAGTGTCCTCTGGAATAGTGTTTCTGGGAGGATAAAAGGGGGCCTTAGCGGCAGTGGCGCTATCTCTCTCTCACTCTCTCCTTCTCTCTCTGTCATGTTAGCTGCCTTACAGCAATAAAGGAAAGACGAAAGTCTCGTGAGTAAAAGGTGAGGCTTCTGAGACCAGGCCTCAAAGGCAGGAAGAGGGTGTCGGGTATGATAGGAAGCAGAGAAGACAAATGTGAGGACGGAGCAAGCACATAAAACGGACTATGTCTATGGATGGAATATTCTTCCCAGTAGACAAGACCAAAGGTGGGAATTAAGAGGGAGTTCTGAGTGTCCCCAGCCCCAAAGAAAGGAAGTGGCAGGGAAGGGCACAGAAATCACTGCAGACAGCCTTGGTGCCTCCAAAAGAGCCAGAGGAATCAAACCCATATGTATTTCCAACACCGCTAGGTGGTCGCTATGGACACCTCGGTCCTCAGGGAGCAGCATGACCGCCACATTCCTGGGCCTCAGAAGTCCTAAGGGGGACTCCAGCACCTTGACCAGTGGGAGTCCCACAGACCAGAGGGGCCTATACTAACCCGGAGCCTTACATGGGGAATATGGGTACAGGTTTACTCCAAAGAAGCCCCTCCCAGAGGACGACCCAGTCAAAATACATAAACACTTGAAATTTTAAAAGTGGCAATCAGGACTACAGATAGGCATTAGGTGTTGGAGGGGTATGCGTCTGTTTATTTGCCTGACTGTTTCTAAACTTTCTACTACAGCACAAACTGTTCTTAGTATCTTTCAGAATTAGTCAAAAACAGAGATAAGCGGAGGATAAGCGTTTTCCCAAAGGGCTAAAGGACACAGGATGTGCCACTTCCCAACATTTCCAGCAGTAAATGCAAGGGACGGGCGAGACTGGCAGCCTCCCTGGGGGCGCAGCAGCCTCAAAGAGTCTGGAGTTAAAGCAGAATATGAATATTCTTCCCTTAATGTGAGGGCAATGGGGCTAGGGGGCCAGCCACATACACCAGAGCTGGCAGGTTCAAACCCAGGGCCTGCCAAACAACAATGACAACTACAACCAAAAAGTAGCCGGGTGCTGTGGCGGGTGCCTGTCATCCCAGCTACTTGGGAGACTGAGGCAAGAGAATCACTTAAATGCAAGAGTTGGAGGTTGCTGTGAGCTGTGATGCCACAGCACTCTCCTGAGGATGACATAGACTCTGTCTCAAAAAAAAAAAAAAAATGTGAGGGCAATGGTACTGCTCATCAGCACATTAAGTATTTTTCCCCAAGAAACAATGCCCAGTCATTTTTCAATAAATTAATATGCCTTACAGAAGCCCAAACCTTTTCTAAAGTTCTTCCAGATTTTCATAATGCTTATCAAAAACTCTGTAATTCTCCATGTGGAAAAAAGCAAATTTGGGGTGCTTTCACCAGAGCTGTATTTTTTTTAAACACCATTCCATAAGTACATGTTGAAATGTGGTCTGTGTAAGCCCAGTTAAGTAGGCTTTCAGGGCAGTATCTGCAGAGCATGAGCTTTGAGCTTTGGGACAGGACAAGTGGATCAACCTCCACACGGGTCGCCCAAAGTCATGGAACTTAACTCCATGCCAGTAACACACCTTACTGACACACTTAACCCTCTTATTTTTAGAGCTTTACTATTTCCAATTTATTTTTAATGGACATATAAAATTGTATGTATTTATCATATACAACATCATGTTTTAAAGTATACATACATTGGAGAATGGCTAAACCTAGCTCTAGAGCTTTAAATCATTTAGATTTTATAAAAATTTACTCTTATCTATCTTTTTTGTCTCCCCCTTTTTTATGGCATCTGCCTTGCTTTGAGATTACAAATAAATTACAGGATGGAAGCAAAGCAACCTATCGTCTTCAAATGTAATTTGACCATCATCTTTCAAAACTGGCAAAAGGAAAATGCAGCTCTTCTCTGAGACTTGCCTGTGACTTGATTTCTTCAGAAATGAAAATAAGTAAGTCGGTGTGCACATAATTTTAAAGTTATATATTCTGCCTAGTACCTTTTCTCTGATCAAAATTACTGCACACGTGCCCCCAGATGTTACACCCTGAGAGGAACGTGGATGCGGCAGGGTAACATTCCGAACGAGATGCCTAACCTGAACTAATCATGAGGAAACATCCAAAAACCTAAAGTAAAGAATATTCTGTCATTAATAAAATGACTGTATGCTTTGAAAATGTCACTGTTATATAAGAAAAAAGATGGCTATAGAAATGTTCCAGACTAGATTTCTACTGGCTTCATATTAGTACTGAGTACATTGGATTCTTGCTTCTCCATCTTGTGATACTTTACTAAGAAGAAAGTGTTCCAACTCCATCCAGGTTAATACAGCTCGTACACACCAACATAAGAGAAAAACTCAAGTCAATCCAAGATAGGGGGCAGGGTAACAAGAGGGGGGATGGGTGTGCTCCCACTCAATGGGCATGACATTAGGGTGTGTGACACACCTCTTGGGGGGGCACACAGTTATAAGAGGGACTTTCCCCAACAAATGCAAAAACACTGTGCCCTAATTCTTCAAACCCTCAATGAACCTGAAACATTAAAAAAAAAAAAAAGTTCCAGTTTAAAAGAAATTAAAGAAACATGACAACTAAACATGTTACATACTTCTGGAATGGATCCAAGGGAAGAAAAATGTTTTTAAAATGATATTTGGGTCTGTTGAAAAAATTGAAATACAGAGGTCAGATTCCATGAAAGTGTTACGCTGATGTTAAACATAGTCATGATAATGGTTACACTAAGATTTGTTAACAAAAAACTTATTCCCAGGAAATAAGCACTGAAGTATTTAGAGGCAAACAGGCTGTAATGTCTGTAACTCATCCTCAAACGGTTCAGGTAAAAAAGAGGACAACGTGCCAGCAAAGGATTAAGCGAAAGGAATAAAATGTGAACAATGCCTGCATCTGGTAAAGGTGTTGAGAATGCTCTTTACACTATCCTTACTCTTGTATCTTGTCTATAAATTTTAAATTATTTCCACGTAAAGTTTTAAATTTCTAAAGTAAACTTTAAATCAAAATAGTACTAGACATACTGCTTTTTGCTTGTTTGGCTTTGGAGATTTTTTGTTTGTTTGTTTGAGGTTTATGAGAAAGGTAACCTTTCTTTTTAGGATAATACATTTGTTCACAAACATCTGTTATCAAGAAGTTACAAGATAACCAACTGATACATAAAGTTAGCTGAACCAAGACAGTGTCCTCATGACTTCTACCCAAGGGTGGTTCTCAAACTTGACCATGCATCAGAATCACCTGTTAAAGCAGATTTGTGGGGTCTCATTCCCAGAGTTCCTGATTTGGTAAGTTCAAGGTGGTGTTGGAAGATCTGCATTTCTAACAATCTCCCAAGTGATACTGATACTAGTGGTCCAGACCATACACTGAGCACTGCGATGAAGTACAGTTTGGGTCATTTGTTTTTTGATGTTTTCCTAAAGCTAGAAGAAATAGGATGGTTTTGGTGACCTAATAACAGGGCTGGACTTTGTTACACAATTAAAACTATTACGCATCTTTAGTTTTGAGACAGAATTTAGATGTACCTATCAGTATGTCTTTTCAAGTATTTGCCAAAGCAGGGTGCCTGTCAAGATAAGTTCAAAGGAGGAATATACTTTTCTTACCTTGTCTTTTAATTTTTCCATCCAGCTTCTCACTAGAAAAAATAAGAGAATAAAATGTAAATAGCTATATTTTACTTATATTTCATGGTATTGAGTTAATTTGATACATTGAAGAGGTCAGTACAGTAAAAGGATCAAGAATATTAACATAACAATAGTAATGGTCTTGTTTTTATTTCCACTTATTTAAAAATGTCAAAGAGCACAAACATCTGTCATACCATTATTAGAACACAGAATGATTTTGTCGGTTGAATGTTACTAATACTGGGGGCTTTGGAGGGAGGTCTGGAGAAGGAAAAAGGAAACCATCTTTAAAACACCAATTTATTTTGTTCTCTAACATTTTTTCTTTATTTTATTCCTTATATTTTTCAGTTTTTAAGCTCAGAGGGAATGCAGTGCTTGAATCAAAGTCAGGGAGCTGAGACTGAGGCAGGCCAGGCTCCCCACCACTGGCTGCAGAAAGGAGGTGGGGGGACAAACTGGTCAGCTGAGTTACCCTACAGAAGGCAGCGTGTGTTCAGACCTGGGGCCTCTTCACTCAGAGAGAGGGACCTACCTTGCTGTTTGAGATGTATTTTCCTAATAGTTTGTGTGCTTTTGTTCCACAATAAATACATGGTGATGGTGACCGGTTGTGTGTGTGATCACACTGTCACTGTCTAGGCAGCAGTGCTCATACTTGGCACTGGGAGCCAAGAATCAGGAAACATCCAACTCCAGATGGACCTAACAATGGGCCAAGGGAAAAAGCCAAAAAAACAAGCAGCAGGCCAGACGATGGCCTTGGACCACTGTTTGCTGGCCCCTAGCACAGACACACCAAGAAGACGATGCCTCCACTTACAGCGTGACCCCGGGAATAACACATCGGAGGGTGCTCCCAATGTCCAGCACATGTGGACAGCTCTATCCCTTACGAAGCACATGGCAGACATGCCATCATTTGATCAATAAACCCAGGACAGACATGAGACTGTATCAAATCATAATCAGAGAAAATTATGAGGAAACTAAAACTCAGAGAAGCTAAGAGACTTGACCTTGTTTAACCAGGAGATTTTGTATCTTTTGTTACAACTTGGATGGATTTGGAGGACATTCTCGTAAGTGACACAAGAATGGAAAAACAAGTATGTCATGTTCTCACACTGCATGAAATTTATAGATTAACAACAATGTGCACACATGAGAGAAAAACTCAGTTAAATTGAAGAAATAGGGGGCGTAAGTTCCCACCCAACAGGGCAAACAATGTAACTTAATCATACGTGCCCTTATATTAATCCAGAATAAATTTTTAAAATTTAAAAAATAAAATTAAACATCAATTCCTACCTTGAAAAAAATCTTCAAAAAAAAAAATACTAGAATTGGAAAGCAGGGAAGAGTCACTGGAATGCAAACCTAATTAAACAACCTGGGAATAGGACTGCCCAGCTACCGCTTATTTTGGTGAGACCACCACTCTTCTGCTCCTTCAGGTTGAAAATGTGGAGACACGTTTGGCTTTTCCATCTCTTCCAGTTCCTGGCTCTAACCTCACATAAAGACGGTGTCAGGACCTCTTGGGTTTGTCCTTCCCTCTGAGCTTCCTCTGTCTCATATAGGATCCTGGTGCAGGTGGTGATCACTCAGGACAAGGACAAGGTCACAGGAAAGTCAGAGGAAGAAAGTCTGGGCACCTCAGGAAAAGGCAAGGAGAGTGATTCTAGGAGTCATGCAGAAGCCAGGTCCCTCACTGACCCACAAACTTTGGAGAAACTTGTGAACCTCTGCACCCTCAGCTTCCTCATTAGGAGATGGCAACATCAGGCTTGGAAATGGTTGCCAAGATTAGAAACACGTGCAAAGTGTTTAGACAATACTTGATGTCAAAAGACTGGAAAGCAGGGTGATGCCTGTGGCTCAAAAGAGTAGGGCGCCAGCCCCATATCTTGGAAGTGGCGGGTTCAAACCCAGCCCCAGCCAAACCACAACAAAAGAATAGCCAGGCGTTGTGACAGGCACCTGTAGTCCCAGGTACTCAGGAGGCTGAGGCAAGAGAATCACCTAAGCCCTGGATTTGAGGTTGCTGTGAGCTGTGTGATGCTGCCACAGTACTCTACCGAGGGTGATAAAGTGAGACTCTGTCTCTATAAAAAAAAATAATAATAATTTGTTTAAAACACACTGTGATGAGCAGTAACATTACGATGTTTACTTTTACTATAAGAATAAAAGTAACAAAGAGAACAAGGAAGGCAGAGCCCATCTTTGAGGAGGCATCCTCTGTTCTCTGGAATTGCGGGCTTTCTTATAAATAAAAGTGAAACTGTTGACCTCTCATCTGCTTCTCAGTTGATTGGCTTGGGTGACAGGTGGACAGACTGCTTGGTGCAGCAACCCAAGCATCTCAGGGAGGAGTGAGCCAGGGCAGGACAAGGGTCAGCGTGGAGAGGAGAACAGGGAGGTAAGGTCCAAAATACTGAGAGACTTCAGTGCTGAGGAAACTCACTGAGAAACGTTCTAACGTAGGCCTTATGCAGGCAGGACTCACTGGTAAACTGTCAACATCTTAGATTCTTAGAGTAAATTTCACAGAGACCTCTGCATGGTTCTCTAACAAAGTAACTGTCCATGGAAGGATGTTCACAAGTGCACAAGTCTTCTAAAAGAGCACGTGCAATAGATCTAGTTCAATAATTTATAACACAGAACAGAAGGCCGGGCAAAATCTTGTTTATTGAGGAGTGATACACAGGGGATACTGAGCAAGTGTTTGGGTGGTCAGGGATCTGAAAAGATTGAGAAAATACTAATCTTAGAGTATATAAGCCTGACTGTGTTTCCCTAGCTAAGAGCATGAGGCCCCAGAGGGCCATGCCTTGTGCTTCCCAGGTACCCACCAGGGTATCAGACACTCAGGTGCTTAATAAATATTTTTCCTTCTTTTAGCAAGTATTTATTGCTTTTAAGTGAGTGTACAATCATTGAGTAAGCACGATTCTCTTTCAAAGGATTCTGTAAAGTGTTTTTCGCAAAACATTCAAGGCAGAATAAAATAAATTTAACACAGTGATCATTTTAAAACTTAAGGAAATAGAAATCAATAAAAGAATGCAAAAGCAAGAATAGAGAAAATCATAAGAAATATTTTATTAAAAATTATAATTTATAAGGAGAAGAATCAACAATGAAATTTTTTTAAAGTAGAAAAAGATCTCATAAATGGAGTATGAACTGATAAAGCTTTTCAGAGTTGGCTGGGGGAAGACTTGCAATTAATATCAAAAGCTTTAAAAAAGTTTAAAATATTTTATTCAAATCTCTAGTTATATAAAAAATGCACTTTAAACAATTAACCATGGGTGTGCCCAAAACACTAAAGGGAAAACAAAACCTGAGGCTAAGTTTACAGAGTAGAATATTGTAAGAAACCAAATTATATGAAGAAAAATACTTAATGTCAAGGGGTTGTTCAAATTATATATTACAAATAAAAAATATGTAGGATGTATAATGTGAGCCCAGTTTTGCAGATGAAAATATCAAGTGTATGATTTGAACAATGTACATCAAAATGTTAATGGAATTAATCAATGGGGAGTAGAATTGTGGGTGATTTTGTTTTTATTTCCCATTTTTAGGATTTCTCACGTTATCGTTTCTTATTATTTTTAAATTAAGAAAAAAACACATTTTACAACAAAACTCCCCAAAGTTGAAGACTTTCCACTTGGCTGATTCCTCTGCCCATAGCCACAGATTCACTCTAATCCCCTGATTTGGTTTGTTTGCCTTCTTGAAGTTTTACTTA